CAGTGACAAACACAGGTGAAGCCAAATAAAAGCTTAGTTTTAGTAATTCTTCCTTGTGTCCACATTTGATTTTATTGTGGGAGAATTCTCCAGTTTTTTTCCAGAGCAGCTCAGTTTTTTTTCCCTCTCTGTGTGTTGTTTTGTCGTCACACCAAACGTTGAGTATCGATGATGGTAAAAGATGAAAAAAGGAAAAAGGAAGAAGGGGGAGTCGTAGTAGAGGAGGTGGAGGAGGGGGGAGGAGGTCGATTTGTGTGGTTTCTGAGCATCCTCGGTGGGAGCAGGTCGATGGGGGGAGGGGAGGTTTGGGAGGAATGTAGGGAGCAAAGGCCCTCTCACCCCCTTGCGTTTCTCTTTTTTTTTTTTTCTTTCCTCCTTTTTCTTTCGTCCTCTCTTCCCGGCGTTGAGATTAGGTGTCAGTGCTCCTGTGTGCGCCTCACGGTTGAACCCTAAAGTAAGAAGTTTGTTTGTTTTGATGACTGTCAGCAGACCTTTCTGGGTGGAAATGTTTAACCACAGTCCAGTTGCTGTTACAAGCTGCCGCAGAAGGACACAAGTCATTATTAAAAACAGACAGGAAGCATATTTTTCAGGGGGTGGGAGGCACAGATTTAACCCTGCTGCTGTAAAAAATGTTTCAGGTGTTTTTTGCTGTGTGTTAAAGCCACTTTGTAAAAGTCTCAGGTTTAAAAAAAAAAAAAAGAAAAACTAGTTTGGGAAATGTTGGATAAAGTGCCTCCGTTGTAAAAGTGCATTTGTGTGAGTGCACGCTGAAGGGAAAGCAAAAGGAGACCTCAGTCACTTGACTGTGTGAAATTCTCCCTGAGTAAAGAACGTGACTTGTTTAGGCTTGCTTGCAATGCTTGCTGGGAAATCCTGGAATGTGTGGAATGGGGGACGGTGGTGCTTCTGCAGTTATCTGACTGCATAGAGCTGCAAAGGCTCCTGCGATGAAGCCCAACATGTCAGCGGTGCTTTTTTTTCCCTGAGCAGCTCTTGAATGTGAATCCCGGTGCAGAGAAAAACAAAAGCTAATGAGATAATGGCATCTGCATTTCATTAATTACACAAACACGACGTAGTCATAAAACTCTGAGGGTTTATTTATGGCGCTGCTGCTGCTAATGAATTTTCTTTTAAACAAATGAAATCACTGAGAGAGAATTTCTCCTTTTTTTTTGCAAAGAAGTGTTGGAAACAAAAGAAAAGCTCTCCTGAAAACATTCGTATAATTAATAATAAACATCTAAGTGTGAGTTTGTGTTTATCATGTTTTATTTTAAGGGGTTTATGAAGCATTTCTGATTAAAAAGCTGTTGTTTTGTTCTTATGTCACCTTTTGTCTGAATAAAAACTATTAAATTAATGCCCTCGTTTGTTCTTATTTATTTTCTTGCAAAAACACTTTTAAAAGAGCAAAAATTTATCTTTAGAAGAAACCGATGGATTGGATGTGAGATGTAAAATTCAGATTTAAAAATGTGGCATTTACACTTTGCTTTGGTTGTTTGTTAAAGAATTAGAAAAGAAAAACAAAAACCTCATGAAAAAACTGGATTTAAACTTTAAAATCTCCGGCCTAAACCAGATTCTTTTGTGTGTGATTTTTAATCCTCACAGATCGGTTGTAATTCAGTAACAAACTGATTTCAATCAATAAACTCTTTTTCACCTCATAATCTAATTATAATAAATGTATTAACTCTGGTGGACTCATAATGTGCTCGTGGGCTTTGGTTCAAACCCACAGGACTTCATTTTGACGTTTAAATTTGGGCCAAACGTGTAAATTTAGTTGGAATGTATAGATTTTTGTGTGTTTTGTGGCACAAGAAGGATAAAAGAAAAAACATGAAGCTGATTTGTATATTTTCCTGCAATGAGGCTGAAACAAAAATCAGAGTTTGTGTAGAAAAAAGTGTGATTTTTGTAAATTCAAAATAACCTTAACAGTGAACAAAAAAGCAAACAAGTGATTTTAAATGGGGAGAGCGTTCATCTTCTACACTGTTATTAAATATGATATGCTAATGAGGAGACTGGAGAGGAAGGCCTCCAGCCAAAACACAGCAGAAACCACTTTTTAATCAAATATGAAGCCGCCTAGATGCCGACTGCTTCGGTGACGTGTTGCTGTCTTCCTGAGGCTGAGCTCCTCTCTTTGGATGTTGTACTTTTTGAGTTCATATTTACGCTCCTGATCACAGAAGTCCTGTGAAAAAGTGTTTTGATGCATCAAGTTTAGCCAGTAAATAAGCTGCTCTCCCTCCTCCGTCCTACTGTCGTCATTAAAGGTGTGATTTTTCATTTTAAATCTGTTGAACAGCTCCTATATCACAACGCAGCGTCGTGTTTATTATTCCACGGACAGGAAAGATGTAAATACGAGCATGTTTTTGTCAGGATAAATCTTTAGTGAGTCCATTCCAGCTCCTATCAGAGAGAAAGACGGCACTTTAAAGAATAAAAGATTCGACTTTTTGACTAATTTTCCGATTCCTATCATCACTTTTGCTCCTTTTTGCTCTTTCTTTTCATTTTTAAAGCACTATTTCCTGCACTCTGAACAGAAAGCAGCGCTCATTTGCAGACCAGCAGGGCTGTGACATTTAAATTTTAAAGTTACTTGCCGTAGTTTCTTTCAGTCTTGTTGTTTGTTAAGAGATAAGTGAAGATACGGAGCCTCGGTGCAAAGGTCCCGGTTATCTCCACCACACAGTTTGTCTGTGGTCAGGCTCATCATTTAGCTCCACGCAGGCTCTTTAAAAAATTACTTTTCAACCATCTCCTAGTGCAGAGTGGCAGTTTAATGCCATCCAAAGGACAGGAGCTGAAGTGCACAAGCAACCAGTGGCTGAAATAATCATTAATTACTCATTATTGGCATATAAAATTAATTAATGCTGCTAAAAATTAAAGTTTAAGGAAAGAACGCTGCCTCAAATTAAGCACGAGGAGCTTCTTTGGGTCCCTAGAAAACGTTAGATTACCGACTAAACATAGAAGAGATGAAAGACGAGGATTTGTGCAGCTGAGAAAATAAAATGAATAAAACGAATTAGGAGGCAAAAACAACAAATGCAGCTGAGTCACAGACAATGGCCACGGAAATCCAAACAAACCAAAATAGCCCTGATGCAAGGAATGAACTCATCTAGGAAGTGTGTGTGTGTTCAGGAGGAGGAGCTGAAGGTGTCCCAGTCTGGAGTTTTATTTAGACGACCAAAAGAAAGCAGATAAAAGTCAGTCTGAAGAACATTTTTCAACATTAAAAGTCAAATTCACCACCACATCCTGCTGCTAACTTGTTGTTTTTAAATTGTAGGTTTAGTTTTTTGGGATTAAGCTCAACTTTAAGCAGCTTTTTGAGATTTTTGGAAACTTCTTGATTCTAAAACAAATATCAAAGATGTAACTGATCAGACGTGAGCGGTGTGTCACCACGAAGGTTTACCTGCAGAGTGAAATGATATCATCCAGTAAGAACGAAGGAGGAGGAAGAGAGTGTGTGATACAGAGAGTTTTATCTAATTTCTCTCCATAAAGCTTGATCTCTGGTAAAGTGTTTTTTAAAGGTCTTTGTTGGATTCGTGTGTTTGTTTGTGTCTGATCACGTTCATCCTTTTGTTCATGAGCGGAGGTCCTGCTGGAGGATCCATCAGCTGCCACTCTGACAAGTGTAAAATAAGATTAAGCTGCACAACAAAAAAGAAAAACATGCATCAGTTTAAGGAGGATGCAGAAGATTTCCTGTTTTTACTGTTAACGAGCCAATAGGAGGGCAGTTTGGAAGGATGAAGAAAAATAATTGTAAAGTGTTTTTAAGGGTTTGTGGTGATTTAAAAAGAAACATATCTTGAACTTATACAAGAATCGATCCTCAGGTTTGCTGCAGAGGTGATTAAGCGCCACTCGGTGGACGAATGCATCAGTGCAGAAAGCCTTAAAGGGCCAGTCCACCCAAACAACCTAACACTGAGGGAAAATATAAATGCAAATTGTGACTTAGAGAACAAGCTAAAGTCCTCATTTCTGTTTGGTGCGTTCTCCCAGCTGAGCCCAGAAGCCGTTGAACCGGTGACACATTCTCACCCACTGAGTGAATCCACACCTCGGCCAGGGTGTCGCCTGAGACACCAGTCTGACCAGCGACTATAAAAAGCCCTCTAAAAGAGCAGCTTTATTCAAACGACCTGATGCCACAGATGAAGAAAGAAATGGGCCGTCGGGACGCTGGATGCTGGTTTATCGGTTCGGTTCAGGCGCTTAAACGTCCACAACTTCACCGTATGTTGCTGAAGAAATAATGTCAGACGTGTGTGGACTGACACGTCTGACAACTTGATCCTGCCCCTCAAAATATCCACCCGTCCTTCAGGAAGAGCGGGACGACATTTCACAAACCAGAACCGACAACCTCATTAAGTCTACGGGTCACGAGACGTCTCACTCGTAATGTGACCCCAGTCTTTAGCTGCTAATGGTCTATTTTTTAATTGCTGTTGTAGAGATCCTTTGTGTTGGAACAATTCATTCTTCTGTATTAAAAACAGAAGATAGAACTTAGTGAAATATCACCTGCTGAGGAAACGAATGCATCCTAACTTGACTAATTTCTAGTTTTTGCATCATCCACCTTTGAGATTTATGGCTAGAAAGAAGTGCATGAATGTTTTTTTGTTTGTGATGCTCATTGTACTGAAAAATTACATCTGAAAAATTCATTATGTCTTTCCAGAAACAGCCTTTTGTGTTTATAGCACCTTCTACTAGAGAGAAATTAAATAAAACTGTATGAGCCACTGACACAGTGTGAGTTCTCCAACACATCTTAAAGCTTCTGTACTTAAATAAATGTAATAAAAACAAATAAATATGAACGATTTATTGAATTAATCCAACCGACATTGCACAAATAAATAATAAATAAATGTACTTGAAGAGTTCATTTGCAAAAACAGATCACTCCATGTTTGCAGATTTTCAAGAAAACGTATTTTTTTCATTGTTTGCTTGAGATAAAATCAATCAAAGTGAAGCTGAGTGGATTTGATTCAGCAGAAACGACACGATTGATTGATATCGTCTCAGGTAGACGATGGAAAAGTGGGTTTTGAGTTATCAGTTCCTGCAAACGAGCTCTTCACTTCTTTTAAAACCATTCCACAAACTTGAGATTAAAAAGTGCATCCGGACAACTAGATGTCAAAACAAAAGTTTCACTCCTATATACAGTAACCCTGAGTCTGTTATTGCTTTAAATGTGTATGTTTAAGTTTGTGTCTCCTGCTTGAATTCCAGGTTTCTGAGGTAAACGTTAGGTGGCCTAGCGGGTCGTTTCCAGCAGGTGGAGCAATAAGTTTGTTCTCCTCCGTTAAAGGAAGCACATCAGGGCTGCAACAAGCCCTTCATATGTGCCAGGACAGCCGCCTCCATCAGCGAGATTTGACATTTACAAGATTCGTCTTCATGTAAATAAAAAGAAATAAAAGCGTCCATCATTAAAGTGTCTTACTTAAGCAGGATTTAGACTGAAAATTCAAAAGTGCAACCTCAGTTTTTGTTCGTCTTGATGTCATTTTTGGTGACTGCGAGGTCTACTGTAGCCTCATGAGGCATCTGAAAGAGAACAATCGCCGTGGTTAGCTTTAGAAGGTGTGTTTCCTGCGTGGGCGTTTGAAATAATAATAATAATACAGCGAGAGCACTGACCAGGACCGGAGGAGCCATGAAGAGGTAATTTAAGGGGTAGTGCAGCAGGTTGATGCAGGTGGACGAGTACAGATCTGCATAACGCATCAGCTGGCTGGCAAACAGCGTCTGTCTGGCTCCGCTGCGCAGCAAGCTGCCCATCTGGCCGTAGGACATGTCCATCCTGTAGGTCAGCACCTGGGAACACAAACCAGCAGCGCTTAATGGCACAAACAGAGAGTCTGGTTCCTGCTGCAGCACTGAGCTCTTAAAGTGTCATTGCTGTATTGGTGCATATAAGAAACTAGACTAAAATTGGTGTATTAACAGACAGTTTCATGTTGTCTCACTAGTTTTTGTTGCATTGGTTTGAGCCGTCAACAATAAAGCAACAGTGTATTAACATCATGAGGGGTCCACGTTTACCAAGCGATGAACCCCAGATGGAGTTAAAACAGCTGCATTTTGCCTCCAGTAAAAACCATCCATCCATCATCTATACACCACTTAATCCTCACTAGGGTCGTGGGGGGCTGGAGTCTATCCCAGCTGACTGAAGGCAGGTTCACCTGGACAGGTAACCAGTCTATCACAGGGCTACACTTAGAGACAGACAACCAAGCACACTCACATTCACACCTACGGACAATTTAGAATCACCAATTAGCCTCAGCATGTTTTTGGACCTTGTGGGAGGAAGCCGGAGAACCCGGAGAGAACCCACGCTGCACGGGGAGAACATGGAGACTCCACGCAGAAAGATCCTCACCGGGACACGAACCGGCGACCTTCTATCTGTGAGGCGACGGTGCTAATCACCGAGCCACCTTGCAGCCCCAGTAATAACCAGAAACCTTTAAAAGTGCACGATGCTCACCTTGATTCTGGTCTGGATGGAGCTGATGTCAGAACCCTCCCGACTGCTGCCGTCCAGGTTCCTTCAAACAGCAAACAGAGACAAATGAACGGCTTCAAACAATTAAGCAACAAATTCGACTAAATAAAGGTGAAATAAATCCTGTTGTTTGGGATCTAAGAGCTGCAAACCATCAATAAAACCTCTGTAGGATATTTCAAACACTTTAGAATAAATTATCTGGTTATATTACGATATCAGCCATATTTCAACCTGTTTATCATTAATTTATTTTACACGTGATGGTTTTTTTTTGTTTGTTTTCCTTTAATGGATTGTATAAAAGCACTTTATCACATAATGATGCACAATTAATGAAAGCAATCCGATTCAACTAAAGCCTTCACTAAACACGTGACAACAGTTTCTAAGATTTGAATTTAACGTGAGACTTACAGTGCTGCAGCGCCCCCTGCTGGCCAGAATGAAACACAACACAACACATATACCATTTTACTTCAGAACACTTCCTGTTCAGGTACGTGGATGCATTATTTTGCTTCGTTTAAGTTGTGAAAAAAATATTGTAAATCAAATGTTCTTTCCATCTAATCAAATACTAGAACTTGTGGAAATTCAGCTTAATTAAAAAGTTTAGAGGAGCTGAAAACAACAATTTAAATGATCTGAAACCAACAAACAGCAACACAGAGCGTGAAAAGGAGGCTGCATGTTGTCTGTATCTCTACAGTATTTACACAGAGTTTAGAACAGATTCTTTACTCTGCTGGCTGCCTTTTATTTTCTAAATTATTTGCGTTTCTTATTTTGTTGACACTGAGACTTTATGGGGTTTTTGTGAGCAGCAGCATCTCCTCACTGTGTGGAGGTAAAGACAGAAAAGCAAATGTTCAGAAAACGCACTGAAAGGTTGACATGATTATCTGGAGCTTGATGTATCAGTACTGATATATTCTAACATGTTTAGTCCTTTTTTCTTACCAGCTTTGCAATTTAGAGTCAACATCTGACACTGCTGCAGGTTTATTTATCCTCAATCTACAGTTTTATCTCCAGAAATGAAAGCACATGTGAGCTCCCCATATGCTCCCACACACAAGTAATGGTGTATCAATGATCATACATGATAAATTGTTCATTACTTCCACATAAATGTGTAATAAAAGTGTTGTCTACTTTACATACAGATGGACGCGGACTCACGTGTAAAGTTCAGCTAAGAAGACATCGAGACGTTTAAGCTCCTCGAAGAGATCTGAAAAACCAAGAAAGTCGTCAAACCTCCAGAAACCACGGACCAACGGTGAAACTGTAAAGAACAAAGAGGCTGGTTCTTACTTTGTTTTTCCTCCCACACCTGCAGCTCCTTGCTGAGCTCCGGTACGACCAGGAAAGTTTTCCATCCTTGACGTTTCTTAGATTTGAGGATGTCGCCAAAGATGTGATCCCCGACGTAGAGGATGTCTTTACCTTTGACGTCCAGTAGATCACAGACAATGTCTGAAGATCCTGGAGAACACAAAACCAGCTCAGCGTGTAAGGGAAATGTAATCATATGAGATGTAAAAGAAAGAAAAAAACATCTTCAAGACATGCAGCCACAAAACACACACTGTAAAAATATGTGAGTTTGAAGCTTATTTCCCATATTTTAAAAATGCATTAGAGCATCTATGCAATAACTAAACTGGATTGTGATTTATGTGTCACGTGTAAAATAACACTAAAAACCTAAAACTATAAATAACCCTGAAAATTTAATTTAATTTAATTTATACAGCATGAATTCACAACACATGTCCTCTCACAGAGCTGAACATAGTGAGGTACAGACCTTGAAAAAACAGAGAACCCCAAAATCCAAAGTTACCTTTAAATTCCCTGTGAGCAAGCAGTGGGAGGGACAATTTTATGGGCTTTTTTTTGTTTGTTTTTTTTTCAGGGAATTGAAAAAATGTCACATGAAAAATACATTCTAAAATATGTTATGATTTCAGAAATAATTTCCCTTTTAAAATGAACTGATGGACTTGTTAAATTCAAGTTTTATACTAAAAATAGATTTTCTAAAATTAATTACACATAGTGATGTGACATCTGTCCTATCAGGTTGGATTGTGACAGTCAAGGAAGGAAGGAAGGAAGGAAGGAAAGCAGGTTAAACCCTGGACTTAACATGATGTAAACTGAAACTTACTAAGTATTTAAAATTCTCCCCACTTGAATCGTGATCCTACAGACTGGACTCTGAACCATGTTGAACATTTCGCGGTGATTCTGTTTCATGATAAAATTTTCTGTTGCGTATGGAACAAATCTGAACATCCTCTCTTTGCTGCCATATACAGACATTAGTGTATCTGTACCTTGTGGAGAATCAGCATTTGTTTTGGGGGTCTAATTATATTCCTTCATCCATAATCTTAAAACTTTAACCAAATTATAACCAAACCTCAGTTACAAGCCTGCAGGTGTCAAACCAGCTGCTTAAATATTGTCTAAAACCAGCTTGTGTCCATTATGGAGCAAATTGGATGGATTGTCTAGAATCACTTTCATTCAATAAACAAAGGTAAATATTATCCTCTCCACCCTGGTATTACTAAACCAGTTTAAACTCTCTGAACAGCCACTAAAGAGAAGTCTTACTCCATCCATCCATCCATCCATTATCTATACACTGCTTAATCCTCACTAGGGTCGCGGGGGGGCTGGAGTCTACACTTACTCCAGTTTTAAGCAATGAGGAATGCTGCTGCCTTTAAAAACCTCTTAATCCTTGTTCTTGTTCTTCATCATGACTGAGTGTGAATCTCACCTCCAGAGTAAACTGTTCCGTGCTGGAGGTCGCCGGTGTACGTCCCGATCCGAAGCTTTCCTGTGTTCTGTGTCCAAAACACAACACGTTTGTTACAAACCCGCTCATGCACAACATTCATTAGTAGCTCTTCAGTGTGAGACGCTTTTCGTACCGGGTCCACTTGTCTCAGGACGGTTCCCTCTGCGAAGAACAGCGGCTTCCTGGTGTCCACCACGATCAGGTCGAAGAAGCTTTGCCAGGGCTGCTTTGGGGTTCCAGGCTGGAATAAAGAACACGTCTCACATTCATACGACTCTCTTAAGTTGGATATTTTCTAAAAACACACATTTAAAACTGCCTTACCTTTGGGTTACTTTCCAGCAGATACTTCATGATGTTCTTGGTGAAGAAGGGAAGATTAAAAACATGTTAGAACAGGAGTCTCAGCTTCACTTTCACATGATTTACTGTAAAAAGGTGTAATTTGTGTCATTTGTGGCACAACACAAGCTTCTGGTTCACCTCAGTGTAGCTGTAGTTGCTGTTGGTAGCGAGGAACACTTTGGCCACTTCTCTGATCCGGGTCAAGAGCACTGGGAGCTTTGGCTGCACAGAAAACATTGATGTTTACAGGATTTTAGCCACGTTTTAGTCAGAAATGAAGACATATTTAAGTGGATGATCTTTACTCACATCTCTCACAACGTATTTCTCCAAATTCTTTATGGTTCGTTCCTTCAGGATTCCCTGCACCGCACACGGTTAACGTTTTTAAATTAAAGAAAAGTGGACCCATATCTGCAGTGTTTTAAATGTTAAATGTTGCAGCGTGGCTCTTTTCATGAACTTACGGTATCGTGAATGAAGTCCATGGCGTCTCTAACGTCCTGGAACATGCTTCTGAAGGACATGAGCAGGTCGCCGTGCTGGAAGCCTTCCAGGAGGCTGCAGCAGAGACGGAAAAGGATGAAAAGTCAAAAAGGTCATGGGTTGATTTATAATTGTTCAGGGTTAAAGAGGTTAAAAAAAAATTTAAAAAGGAAGGAAGGAAGGAAGGAAGGAAATTTCCTAAGTTCTTAAATTAATCTGCACTGACTGTACACTTTTTTTTTTGAGCTGTTGTAACAGTCAACTTTCCCCACTGTGGCATTAATAAAGTTTATCTTATCTTTATCTTTTATCTTTAAGGAAGGAAGAAAGGAAGGAAATAAATAAGGAAGGAAGGAAGGAAGGAAGGAAGGAAGTGAGTACAGAAGGAAGGAAGAAAGGAAGGAAGGAAGAAAGGAGGGAAGGAAGGATGTAAGGAAGTAAGAAAGGAAGGAAGAAAGTGAGTAAGGAAGGAAGGAATGACATAAGTAAGTAAGGAAGGAAGTGAGTAAGTAGGTAAGTGAGGAAGTAAGGACGCAAGGAAGAAAGGAGGGAAGGAAGGAAGGACGCAAGGAAGTAAGTAAGGAAGCAAGAAAGAAAGGAAGGAAGGAAGAAAGTAAGAAAGTAAGAAAGGAAGGAAGGAAGAAAGGAAGAAAGGAAGGAAGTAAGAAAGTAATGAAGTAATGAAGAAAGTGAGTAAGGAAGGAAGGAAGGAATGACATAAGGAAGAAGTAAGGAAGGAAGTGAGTAAGTAAGGACACAAGGAAGGAAGAAAGGAAAGAAGGAAGGAAAGAAGGAAGATGGAAAAGGATGAAAAGTTTGTTTTGCAATAAGTTCCTGGGTTGATTTGTAATTGCTCAGGGTTAAAGAGGTTAAAAAACAACTTAAGAAGAAGAAGAAGAAGAAGAAGAAGCTCAGAGAGAAGCCAGAACAATAAAACGTGTCGACTCACTTTGTGTATCTGGAGCATCTGGTGAAGAAATCCACCAGGCAGGCGTACAGATACGTCTCTGCAGGATGCATGGACATCAGTTATATTATCACATAGGACACCTTTAAAAACATAAGCTGTGATCCTGTGAGGTTCAGGCTCGCTGATGTGAAACATATAACTAGTCGCAGACATAAACTTTGCCATCATGAAGAATCCAACACAAAGAAAGTTGAATCACTTCGTACCTGAAAGATTGAAGAGAGTGTTGAGGATGTAAAAGCGCTCGGTGTCGCCTCTCTGGATGAACTTGTTGGGATAGTAGTTGTTAACGTCTTGCCTGTGGAGCAGAAACACAAAACGTGTCGGTGTGACTATTAGCTGCTTAAAGTGGCACAAAACTGTAAACATATATCTACAAACAGATTCAACTCCTGCGGTTAAAAACAAGTGAAGCGACACAGCTCCTCTCAGCTGACCATCATGCTGCTGTCATTGTTAAAAGTTAAAATCTGAAAGTTGTGTTTTAATTAACCGTGGCAGCAGCATTTGTTCCACTAATTCTGCTGTATTCGGTTTAAACTTCCACACAAGAAGCTTAAAAGTGAACATTTTCCAGAACTACCCCTTTAAACAGGTTGTACTCTGTTGTATTACTCTCAATATTCCTGTAAATAACAAAACTGTTCTATGGTTCTTATTTAAATCTAACTTTAATTCTTTGCACTATTACAGTTGTTTGTATTTTTTTTATTTCTAGTTACTTTATTTTACTGTATATTTATGGCGTACTTATTGTTTTGTTGCACCAACCCACCAGAACAAATTCCTCGTATTGTGTGAACTATACCTGGCAATAAATCTGGTTCTGATTGGATGTATGTTGTATAAATGTATGTGCAAACATTGTGTTGCTGGAAAACACGGGGATCATTTAGTTTAAATAGTAGCAAGCTAATCTATATTATTATGACATAATTTAAATCCTTTTACCTCGAAGTTATTTCAACTTAATGTCAGGATATATGAATATGTTTTATCTTCTTCCCATTCTCACTTCAACAGGAGTTCATTTGAAAAGCTTCTCATAATAAAGCAGAATTTTTAAAAACCATCATTGCACTGGATTCAGTTTAGATTTTACCCTTTGAGGAAGCGGAAGCCGTGACTGCAGACTAAAATATTTCCGTTTGAATCCACCTTCAGGAGGTTCCCGTACGTGGTGTCGACCACTAAGCCGCTGAGGGTTGGAGAGAGAATCAAAACATCAGGTAAAGCGATAGTTTATTGTGATGACTCAGACACTGACTTGACACTAACCGGGTGGAGAAACTGGGGTCATACGTGTAGCGCAGGAGCTCGTGAGGGTAACCAATAGAAACCATCCTGTCTCTTATCAGCTCGAAGCCCAGACTCTCATAGTCAGGAGACTTGTACACTGCAAACAAACACACAGCAAAGACATTAGTGCACGACCTGCAGGTCTCGTGTGGCTCCGGAGAACACCGAGGCCACCATGAATAATTCACGGTCATCCTCCTGGTGGTGACACAACGTTTTACGCACACGGCGTCACATACATGCCAGCGTGTAATCCATGTCGAAGCCGTAGCATCTGATGTTCTCCAGTGTCAGACTTCTGTTGACGAACACCCTGCGATCGAACAGAAACACGTCAGGCCCGCGGGCACGTGGCCGGAGAAAGAAAGGGGGTCGCCTTACGTTTGTTCATCGTTTGACCATCTCGTCTCGATGAGGGTTTTTTAAGGTTGTAACACACACTCGGCTCGATGCTTATCAGCTCGTCGCTTCTACCATGACACTGGGTTGACGTGAGGTAGAAGTCATCTGAGGCGATGTTGCTGCTTTCTGTGATGCATCCTCCTGCCTTTACTGGCATCAAACTGAGGAGCTTTACCTACACGTTCACCTCCTTGTTTTGTTTGGGCTGGGCCTTCAGCGGGGTGGAGCTGGGTGGAGGCTGCAGATGTTATCATCACCACCCTGCTGCCATCACCGTGTTTCAAATCAAGTACGTCAGAATAAAAACACAGCCAGGCTATTTTTAACAATTAACTGGTGCAGCTGGTTTCCTGTGTCTCCTGCTCCCAGATGCTCGTCCAGGAGGGGAGGCCTATCTGTGGCACCACCGGGCTGGATGGACGGCCCGGTCTCAACCCTGCCTGATGCTTCACACATATAGGGTTCCTGTAAATAATTAACCTGCGAGCTCCTGTTCTGTGAACGTGTTGCTGCTGTGCATTGAAGGTCTTTCTCCTGCGTTTCTGATGCCAAGCACTTTCTAAAGGGATTTAAATATTTAGTTAAAGGGTGCAAACTGTGTGAGGACAGCAGCAGGTGAAGCGTGTCGGAAAACACTGAGAATTGAGGAGAAAACCACCAGTGGATGTTGAAGGTCATTATTTATTGTCTCAGTTGTAATAATGATATATATGCAGAGGAATATACTAACGATGTGGACATAAATAATTTCCTGACCTGGTGTTGTGACCGATGAGGCAAAGATGTTAAAGAAGAAAAAGAAGTTTTTTTCTGGGAATAATAATAATAATAATAATGACAATAATAATAAATTCTGTGGTACCACCCAAAGCAAATGGACTCACTTTTGGTCAAAGTCTCTCTTCATCCGGGGCTGATCAGGGTACATGCTGGAAGATGTGTCCATGTCGTCCATTTCCGTCTCTGCAGCTCTGTTATGCACTCAACGCTTTTGGCACTCAGTCAGAGGAAGGACCTTTAAACTGCCAAATTTACCCAAATTTCGCAGGCGTGACCCTTTTTGTACGCACGCCAAAGCTCCTCCTTGTCATTTCATGCTTGTTGATGATGCAAACTGCTGCGTGAAGACGTCGCTCGTTGCATCTGCCTCACATTCGCCCTGCGGGACTTCGAGGGTGCAGATTGCGTTATCAGGGGCGCACACATGTGCAGGGGCCGCGCGTGTGCGCAAATGGTGGGAGTTTCCCGATGACTGTCAGTCCTGCTGTGACCCGAACACTTCAGCCGTGTTCACCAAAGCAAAACATCTCAGATGTTTGATTTATGAATCATTTAGTTCATGAATCATTTGGCTTTGGGTTCACCAGAAGTCCCAGCGCGCCGCGTAAGAGCGCACAGAGTTACCGGCAACCGAAAGTGTCACAAGTCAACCACAACAAACTTCACAAACATAAGCTACAGCAGGTTTGGTCGTGTCCCCGAGGAGGGAAGGTGTTTGTTTTGTCATTTAGATGAGATGAGAAATCTATTTTTGGTCGCTTATCGTATTATGACTTGAGAGCTTCAGTCATTTCTGTTTTCTCAAATTAGCCTTTAAATGCATCAATAGATTAGCCCTGGAGACTCTGTCCAGAAATATCCTCAGACATGACAGTAACAGAGTTATCAGGAGCATGGTGAACTGCAGCTGTAAAATATCACATCATAGATCTAAATTTAGACAATTAGCTTCCTCCACAGAGGGCTGTCAGCACTGAAACATATTACCAAGTGAAAGTACATTAACTACAGATAATGTGATGTTGACAGCTGAGGCTAAGAGCCGGCTAAAAGCAAACCAGAGCTGAAGCAAGTTTAGTCTAATGGTGCTCAAAACATTTTCTTAATATATCATAATCAATGTATTTTGTTGTGTGTACATCACTGTACCTTTATGTACAGCTGTGAGCAAAAGTTTACACACACTTGTAAAGACCAAACTAACAAAAACAAACATTTTTTAAAAATGACCGGAAATATGTTTGTAGGAGAGAAGGTAAGGCCTTTAACGGCAAGCATGGCGGTGGTGTTATCATGCTCTGGGGCTGTTTTGGTGCTTTACACAAAGTAAATGGATTAATGAGGAAGGAGGAGAAATAGCTTCACGTTCTTCAGGAAAACATAAAATCACCAGCCAGACGGTTGGGTCTTGGAAGCAGTCGGGTGTTCTAGCAAGACAAAGATCCGAAACATGCAGCAAAGGTAGTAAAGAAACGACTATTTCAGGCTACAATTAAACTGTTGGACTGGTCTCTCTAAATTCCTGACTTAAATCCCATCAAGACCTTGTGCTGAAGAAACAAGTCTTTGTCAGAAAGGCAACAAATTTAGTTTATCTGCACCAGTTCTGTCAAGAGGAGGGTCAAAGATACCAGAAGCTTGTGGACGTTTAGCAAAAGCACCGGCCAAAGGACGTTTAACCAAATGTTAGCGCTGTTGTATGGATATTTTTGACCCAGCAGATCTTGTCAAATTTCTAGAGTACCTATAATGAATCTATGAACAAATATATGATTGTTTTTTTTGTTTGTTTGGGATTTTTTGTGTGTGACAAAGACACATATGCTTTAGTTCTGCTTTAATTAAAGAGTTATAGGAGTCCCTGGATACTAAACACAACCGTTTTTTTATGTTCTGTCATTTTAAACTGCATCAGTCGTGTCAAACAAACAAACAAACAAACTAAATGTGTCACTTTTCAGCAAATTTATCCTTCAGTCATTTTCAGTTGGGCTCACTGGTTGAATATAAAAACTTGAGGGAATATTTTCATGGCAGATTATATTTGTCAAGTTCTGGGGAGAAAACGAAGCTCTTTTCATCTTTAAGACGTTCTAGTACTGCTGTTGTTTCCCTGCTAAGGTAGTTTTTAGTGTCCAATACTTAATACTAATAATTTCTTGAGGACTTTTATTTACATGAAGCTGATGAAAAATTAGATAAATGCTGTGACGTAGAGTCACACAGGCAGGAGAAACTCTTGGCAACGATAAATTAATATACAATGGTAATGGAATATAACACATAACTTATCAATGTTTAAGCAGAAATTCTGTGTTACGGTTCGTGAAGGTTGAATTAATCTTAACAAACTTTTACCTGGATAATTTCTTCTACAAAAACATATTTTATAAGATGCAGATGGTGCATACAGTATTACTATGTTGGTGGATCGGTAGTTAGCATTGTCACCTCGCAACTAGAAGATCGCCAGTTCGCATCCCGGTGAGGACACCGGGATCTTTCTGCGTGGAGTCTCCATGTTCTCCCCGTGCAGAGTGGGTTCTCTCCGGGTTCTCCGACTTCCTCCCACACAGTCCAAAAACATGTTGAGGTTAATTGGTGATTCTAAACTGTGTGAATGTGAGTGTGCTTGGTTGTCTGTCTCTAAGTGTAGCCCTGTGATAGACTGGTGACCTGTCCAGGGTGTCCCCTGCCTTCACTCTAAGTCAGCGACCCTAGTGAGGATTAAGTGGTGTATAGATGATGGATGGATGGATGTACAATCTACAAGGACAGAAATGAATACAACCTTGTCTGTCCACAAAGCGAACATTTTCAATTTGAGTGATAGAAGTTAGCCAATAAAATAAAAGCTTACAAACAGGAAAAATATTTAGCTACTGGTCATAAAAACAAGAAAAATCCTGATTTTAATCTAATGGAACACGGCTGCTTTGACAAATGCTCTATAATGACCACTCTGAGCTTGTGTTTTCATTAAAACCATTTATTTCCTGTCAGGGTGATATGCGGTAACTTCGTCCAGCCAGCGTATTTGAAGTTTGGAGAACACATCTAATCAGAATTTGGTTTCGCATGTTTTGATTGCATCGAGGTTGTGGTCGGGGAACCCTATCGTCTGCGATGCTTCAGACTTGGAGTGTATCCTGTTGAACTCCACGGCGATCTCCAGCGCCGTCCGATTCTTGGTCTCAGGGAGGAAATTCGCATAAACCCCGGCGACGATGCAGAAAAACAGAAATATGACAAAGCAAAAGGAATCCAGTTTCCCCTGGAAGGGAAGCATTTGGAGGCCATTTGTGAGTCACTGCATAAAATTTTACTGCCTCTTATGTAGCCTGTAGTTAGAAAATATGCCAGATTTCAATACGCTCACCACTAAGACTGGGAAAATCATCCCGAGCACAAACAGGCCCGACCAGTTGATGGTGCAGCCGATGGTGTACGCAGCCGATCTGAACGCCTGAGTAAAGATTTCCCCTGGAAGAGAAACTGTTCCTGCAGCTTTGGGGAGAAAAAGGTGCTGCGGTTAGATGCTGTCACTGTTGATTCAAATGCAAATATTTAGTCTGAACTAATATTAGCTAAACATACCTGGCCCACAGGCGAAAAAGAAAATGAACATGAAAACAAGGACCATGCTGCAGTACGGCATCCAGGACAGATAACGCTGAGGAGAATGAGAGGATTACACCTGCTGTTGGTCAAACAGTTCTCACATTGTACTCGTCAAAAATATGCAGAAATATGCATCAGACGGTGGCCGGTGGCGTCGTTCTGACTTACTTGCAGGTACAGAGTGACGGTGAGGAGAGCCAGAGTCGTGGCCATTCCTACGTAGCCTCGAAACAGCAGGACTTTCTTCCCCGTACTCTGAATAATCATGAACTGCAACATCAAAACACATTTAAGGCGCTGCAGTAAATGTTGTGGCAGTAATTGCACAGAATCAAACGGCCACACGGGGGAGCTGTCATTACACATGAGGACAGAACGATTTGAAGCCGTGAGAGCAGAAGAAAGAATGAATCACCAGAAGAAGTACAACAAAACTAATATCAAAACAATCTCTGGGTTTAAAATGGATATAAAACATGATTGGATATCAGTGAAATGGGACTTACGAAGGCCACAGAGGTGGACAGTTCACACAGGCCTGTCCCCAAAGCAGCGTAAGGCAACTTGTGTTCTACGATTCCTGCCGCGCGAAACACCTCAAAGGAATAAAAGTACACCTGGAGAGAAAGCATCTGGTTCAGTTCGAGGCAGCGCAGTCAGACGCCATCGCTGGTTTGGTCAGCAGATGCAGGCAGCGTTTCCTAATCTGATCGTTAGCGTACGACATGTGACTCACAGCGTTGATGCCACAGAGCTGCAGCGTGACGAAGAAAACGACGATGGTGATGAGCTGCCAGCGGACCGTTGGGTTCCGAAACACCTCCAGCACCGAGTGGCTGCGAACGCTCTGCTGGGCAGCTTTCTCCTTCAACATCTCCTCGATCTCCTTGCTGTAGTCCTTGTTGCCCCAAAGCCTCTTTAAAGCTGAGGGCAGGACATGAAAGTAGGAGATTTAGACGACAAAGTTTGACGAGACAATATCAATCAAACTTCAGTTATCTCTATTTTTGTCACAGTCAAATCCACTCAGCTTCAGTCTGATTGACTTTATCTCAAGCCAACAACAAAGAAATAAGTTTTCTGAAAATCTACAAAAATGGAGTTGTCTGTTTTTGCAAATGAACCCTTCAAAAGCTTTCTCTCACCTTTCTCACAGGTTAGGCGGTCTCCTCTTTCGAACAACAGGAAGTGGGGAGACTCTGGCAAGAAGGGCAGAGTGACGAGCTGGAACAACGCCGTGAACATGATGAAGCCAAGCAGCCACGGCCAGTTCTTCTCTGTACCAAGCAACTCGCTGCAAATGCAACATCCACTTTAGCAAATATTCAAGCTGTCACGATGCAAAACGATCACATGCATCCAAATGGTGCTTTGCCTCGTTTGGAAGAGCCCCCGTTGTAAAGCTGTGAGGCTTTAGTGCAACTTGGGTCTTATTTGGTGCCATCAGTCCCCTAAATAATAACAACATCGCAATCACCGAGTTAATTGCTGCGATCTGCGAAGGCGCTGACACGAGGAGCTGGAGGAGCACTCAGAGAGAGCGCTCCTCTGCCAAGACCAGCGTCCCGTCATGAAATTCTACAGAAAGTGAGCCAGATCGGCACCAAAATTTAACGAGTTCTTTCATTGGCATGTCGCCATCTCGCCACCAAAATTTCCTGAAATTCAGTCTGGCAGTTTTATTGCATAATCTTACCGACAGACAAACAAACAGACGGACAAACAAATGGCTCTGAAAACACAAGTCAGACGGGGCAGAAGCGCTCAGCAGCCATTTGACTTGTTTTATGTGGTTTGGCTGCAGTTACTTGGGTGATTACGACGTGATCATAGCCGACTGAAAAGATGGTGAAAACCTTAAAAAATAAGATTCTGGTTTAAGGAAAAGTAACAAACTGCTCGTGGCTTTAAAATCACTTTGTGGGCTGATCACCACTATATACAGAATACAATAGAACTTCATAACTGCAATGTTTCTAAGGTGACAAGTTGAGTATTTCCTCTGATGATCAAAACAAATATTTTAGAAAGATGATGTTGAAAAGACAGGCCCTAAAGTAAAAACTCACATGCAACAAAAGTGATTTCCCATCAGCCTAATAGCATAAACCCAGCTATATGGATATAAAGAAAGACCTCTGCAGGACTTTCTCAGCGTTGGACCTACAGGCTCTGTTTATCTGCACGTCTGCATCATGGCTCCACATGGAGTTTCTAGAGGCATTTACAATCTGATTGTGAGATTTCATAAATATGTTAAAGGATGCAGATAGATCCAACTAAAAGTCAATCAAAACACAGCAGTAATCAGGAGGTACAGAATGAGCTGTAGTACCACTAATCAGAGCTCGTATTCCCTAAATTGGTGCCACAGACAGTGCACTTCTTGTACAAAGTAGCTCTTAAAAACAGACGGGCAGGTGCTTCAGATCTGGCACAGGGAGTATTAAACCAAATCTGAGTTTCTGTGACAGCTCAGACAGTCTGAAGGACAGTGCATGATGCCAGTCTTTATGGATGCTTTCCAAGACAAAAAAACAAACAAACTCTGTCTTGCTCTTTGGCACAAACCTGCAGGATGAAACTAAAGAACATGAAAAGAAGCCTGGGGAATGCTTGGGACCAACAGAAAGGAATCTGGCATGTTTTTTATTAGCCTGCAGGACTACCACAGTGAAGGTATAGTCCTGAGAGTGAAGCACGGACGTAGGAGTAGGATGATACAGGGCTGCATGAGTGAAGAAGATGTTTGGGGGATGACATTTATAGATGGTACCATAGATATCTGTGGATAAACCACAGTACTGGCTGGAAAAGATCGTATGTTATAGTATGTTTCTAATAGAACACCACTGAGGTATTTTAAAGAGAAAGGCAGAGCAACACAACCCCTACAGCACGAAGTAAATAAAAATAACAGATTTAAATCTCAGTAATGAAAGAGGACTTTTGGTCCCATTGCTTTCCTACTGTGTGGACTGTATTTCACAATATAGTGAATTTAAACTGCTAGTTTTTAATCTGACATCACAGTAAAGTACTTTACTGTTCATCTCAGGAAAAAAATGCAATTAATTGACATTTAAGTGACATTGTGGAGGTGTGGACTCACTTCTGCTCTTGTAAAATTGTTGACGGGGCACCTTTTAACTGTGGATTTTACTGTCTTTTACAATTTCTGGTTCTATATTTGTAAAGCGTTCCTGTATTTCCATTTCGGGGTCTTTATGTAGTACGAAGATTTTCCAGAGGTCACTTAAGTAAGCTCTAAAAGCAGCAGTTGATTGGTGATAGCTGTGAAGATACAGCTATCCTCTGTAAAGTCAAGCTGACCCAGTCCCTAATAGCAGATGCCATAAACAAGCGAGGTCGTAAACATATGATGGGCTGAGCCTCCAGTCGAGGGAGTAAACAGTCGTAACGCCGGGGCCCTGTGTTATGAGTTTGGGAAAATATTGCATGAAATACACGACGCGACTTTAATGTTTGGGACAGAATCTTCACACATGCAGCTGCAGGTCCGTGAAGAATTTCCTTATTTAAACACGTATTGAGTTTTGGGTATAAATACGCCCTGCAAGGAAGCTAACCTTTAAAATTGGGTGGCATTACACAGAGATAAGATGTCTTGCTCATCTGCGATCTCCTCGATATCTAGCTTCAATAAAATCTCCTGAAACTTCTTCCATCACGCTGCAAGATTTCCATCACAGATCCCACAGCTCGGGGAAGTGAGTTAAATTTCCCTCGAATGTGAAACTTTCTGGGCCAGGCAGGTGAGCAGCCATGACACAGAAACCGAGAGCTATAAATAAATGATATATATACATTTAAATCAATAGGAAATATTAGGGAAAAAAATAATTTAATTGGTCAGGAAATGTTGTAAAGTATTTTTCAAGAGATGTGTTTAAAGGTTAAACTAGAGTATGAACATTAAAATGCAAAATGTGATGATGATGCTACATGAAAAGTAAGAGAATTGCTGGAGTGACAACAGCTTCATGGCAATTAATTCAATAGGTGTTGAGATGTTTCACTCTGGACTACAGCGGTGGACAAATTGAAAACCTAATTTTCCTAATTTTTTTCATCCAGTGGGTTTAGAGCCTCCAAAAAAATGGGTTAAAGTATGTTGTCAAGGATATAAAAAGTATTCATCCCCTTGGACGTTTTCACAATTAGTGAAATGAAGATCATCTGAGTGCAGTAAACGTGTCTCTAGTGATTGTAGTATAAAGACACCTGCATCTAGAAGGTCCAGTCACTGGTGAATCAGCGCTCCTGGTTATAACTCCACCATGAAGACAAAGGAACACTCCAAGCAACTCAGTGAAAAGGTTCCTGAAAATCTAGGGGACGGCCACAAGAAAACTCTAAGTCAATGAATATCCATCAGCGCACAGGTAGATCCATCATTAAGTCATGGAAGGTTTATGACACATCCATAAGAACAGTCCTCAAAGAGGTGAAGGAGACCACCGAGGCACGTATGACTCCTCTGAAGGAGCTTCAGCAGCTGAGATGGTAGAAATTGTGCATACGGCTACTGTTCTTCACCGTTCAGAGCTTTGTGGGAGAGTGGAAAAGGGAAAGCCAGTGAAAAAAGCTAATAATAAATCCCAACTAGAGTTTATCAGGAGGCCTGTAGGAGACTGGAAGAAGGTTCTTTGGCCTGATGAGACCAAAATTTAGTTTTCTTTTTGGCATCAGACTGACTAAATGCTTTGTTTGATAGATTCCAACCACTGTACATTCTAACAAACACACCATCCCCACCATGGAGCATGGTGGTGGCAGCATCATGATGTGAGGATGCATCTCAGCAGTAGAGGGTAAAATGAAAGCAACCACACATAGGAACATCCTGGAGGACAACATGAAAAGAGAACTGTGACTTTGGAGAAGATATGGCTTCCAGCAAGACAACAATCCAAAGCATACAGCCAAAGATACACAAAAATGGTTTAAACACAACAAGGTGAATGTTCTGGAGCCCCTAAGTTAGAGTCTGGATCTCTTGAAAAAAGCTGTTGAGTCACAATCCCTGTGCAACCTGACAGAGTTTCAGCAGTTTTGCAAAAAAGAATGGGTTAAAATTGTAATGACCACATGTGCAAGGCTGACTGAGAACCATCCACACAGGATTAATACTGTAACTGTAGCCAAAGGTCCATCTACTAAAATCCGACTATAGGGAGGTGAATACTGATGCAGTCTTTTTTTCTTAAATGATTTTTGTATTAACTCAATGCTGAAAAGCAATAAAAAGGGGATGTAGACTTGATTTGTTGCTACAGGAATATCAGGGAGATGATGATTTACACTTCTTTATAACTGTAATTTGTAAATCATCAGATATTTTGTCAAATTATTCATTAAATGGCTGTAACAGGAAGTTTAAGCAATGTTGCACATCCGTTAGCAACACAGCTTAATGATAATAAAATATCTCCATGACTTTGTCTTTTTCTTTGATTTTATTTACTTGTATCTATAAATAGTTGTGTGTCCCAGTCCATATGAATATTGCATGGGGGGGCTACACCGTAGGAAAGCTTTGTCATTTGAACCTTCTGCACCACTTGACCCATACTTGACTCCACACAGTATAGATGACGGCGGCCGCCTCACCTGATCCCCAGCAGCTGACCACAGAACTTCCCCAAGGAGATGAAGGTAGCGATGGTCACGCCCACCATCTCTCTCAGCTGCCTGGGAGCGCACTCGACGAGGTACATGGTGTGAGCAGAAAGGCCGATTCCTAGAGGCGTACACGGGGGGAATCATGCATTCGATATCGGTCAATAACCGCGAGACGGATGACTCAGAGGTCTCGCGAACACAACAGCCACAAGTATAAATAGAAATCGATCGTCTGTAGGGTTAAACGTGGAGACAAGAGTGATGGGGCGGTCGAAAAAAAGCCAATCTAATGAGGTTTCACCTGAATTGATGCCGCAGAGAAATCGTCCCGCCATGATCATCTCAAAAGACATGGCTGTTTGGCTGAAGAGCATCAGCATAGCTCCTACTATAGCCAGGAAGTTGTTGAGCAAAAGGCATCGCTTTCTGTGGAGACAAATGCATCAGAGCCTCAGAGGCCTTTGTTTGAAAAAAACCCAAAATGTTTTATTCACTGTTTCATTGAAGCCACACTAATAGATTAATAGAAGCTTGGATTTTAATGCTCATGTACCTGCCATATTTAGAGATCAGTGAACCGGCCACCAGGGCTCCTATTAAACCCCCGATGCAGAAAATGGACACGGTGAAGGACCAGATGAGGGAGAGATGCCACTGCTCCAAGGCCAGGTTGTATCTATGAACACAGGTTTTGTTCACCAGCTTCTTTATGAACTGCAACAACAACACGTGCAGTTATGCAGAGATGCAGAGGCGCCATACGGGTGTGTTTTTATAGCTGAGGTAGAAAATATTAACCCTCCTATTACCTTCAGATTTATCCTTGGGTTCAATTTGACCCCAGCAATTTAAACCTCCAGAAAATATCAGAATTAAGATTGTCACCCAAGTTTATGTGTAAATAGCCCTTTAAATAAAACTGAAAAAATTATGTCAATTACTTTTTTTATCTGCTTTTTATTCAACTTGTTTTGTTCCTGTTTTTATTTTATACTCCGCTAAGCAACTCTGAGTATCCTGAAAAGCTCTATACAAAATCATTTTATTATTATTATTATTATTATTATTATTATTATTATTTTTTATAGAGATTAAACAGTGAATGGGGTCAAAGATAATAGGAGGGTTAATACATTATGTCATAAATATTTAAATATCTTGAATTTTACAGTGATTTTTCTGAAGCATTTCCACTCACAGTAGACGGGGAGGTCATCACAGACACACAGTATCCATACTGAAATGTCCCACCGATGCCAGCGATGAAAATGGCAGCAATTACAAGAGGACAGTTTATCTGCAGAACATAAAAAGAATAAAACATGTTAGGATGACATGTTGCTTTATATTAATCCTGTCAGATCATTAAAGTTTACATTTGTCAGTGTTTATTTTAAAGCTATTCAAACTGCAACAATCACTCAAATGCAGATTCAATTAAATGCAGTGATTGTGTTCTGAACCGTGGAATTTACAGAGCAGACAAATAAAACAAACGTTACCTACCAGGAGCGTCAGGTACTCGGGCATAGCTGGAGTCCGTCGTCGTCGTGTGAGGAATCTTCTCAGGTCAGCCGGACTACATTTAACTGAGCGCTGGAATGATTAACCAATGACAAAACATGATGGAGGCAGACAAAGCAGCAAAGCGGTGAATGAGTGCGTGTCTGTATGAGTAACTTATACAGTTATATGAGCTGTTTAGATTCAGTTTATGTTTGTTTAAGATTCAGCTCGATGATGACGGACTCGGGGTGGAGTGTTCTTTTAAAAAAAAAAAAAAAAGTTATTTATTGTCTTGTCTTTATAAAAGCTTGGTAAGGTTGCAGCGACTGACCCAAAGACATGATTACAGAAACCTCTCATTCAGGACTTTTTGAAACGATGTTGAAGTACTTCATGGGTGGAAAATGCTGAAGGACACGTGGTGGTGTCGCTCTGCACAGTAGCCAAGGACAAAAGTTAAACCCGAGATAGCTACCAGAAATTTCTAACAAAACATCGTCCTCTGCCCCAGTTTTTTTACTTATTAACCGATTTCTTAGGTTTGCAGCTTAGAATCAGGAATTTGATTATACAACATGACAGCGCTGTTACTCATATGCCTCCAAAACACGACATACAGCAGCTGACGAATCCACAAACACTTCAGTAAATATATATTTGTTGTCGTTTTAATGTTGTGGATAGACGAGAAGACGTCACTCTCATGTTTGTTCAGTGAACATGAAGGTACAACCAGCACCAGGGCAGCTTTAAAGCTCACTGATTAATACAGTTTGCATTTATTTGATAAATATATATATAAGGAAATGTATTAACTACATGTTGTTGGACATCATTCCTGCTCAGGAACAGAGAGTTGTGTTGGACTATCCAGTAAACTAACCTAAAATGCTGCTTTTTACAATTTGTAATTTGTGCAATAAGAAAAAAAAACATGTTCAGAGGTGCCAAGTGCATTTAAAAAAGAAAAAAAAAACAGATCCAGGTTGGGGGGCCGCTATAGCTGGTTGAGCTGGTGCCCCATGTGCAGGGCCACAGTCCTGATATGGAGGTCATGAGTTTGAATCCCGCTCATGACCCTTTCTCACATGTCCTGCTTTCCTGTCTCTCTCTCACACTGAACTATCCAACAAAGGCCAAAAAAACAACTTTAGAAAAACAGCCATGTTTCCCATATTTGCAGTTTTTGTGCTGATTTGTGCTAAACAGCTGCCGGCAGCAGAGCAGTACTGAGTTTCCTGTTTAACCCCAGGCAAGAAAATGAAGTGTGTTTTTCAACATGTCAAACTGCTCCTTTAAGATGCATGGATTCCTCTGTTAACCCTGCACAGTAGCTTGGGACCTTTGGCAGATTTGTCCTCACAAGTGCTGCTTGTGATGGTTTAAAAGCCCCAAACCTGATTCTAATGAAAGCAGAAACCTCCTGCGGTATCCCTGAGTGTCAGGCAGACTATCCAGCCAGATGTCACACAGCTGAGCTCCAGGAAGGAACTGCTGTCAGCTTTAAATGACAGCGCACTCCACACAGGCCACTGAGAGATTGAAACTTCTAAAAAGTTGTCAGGAGGACTGTTTCCTGCAGGAGATGAAAGACTTTGCAGCTGCCAGCGAGGCTCTATTTACAGCTTGACAAAAGGAGGAATGGCTGACAGCGCATAAAACAGAGGCCCTGTAAGTCATTTTTACATATCATCTGTACCAAATTACGCACAAAAAGCAACCCGCGTTCGAATAAAAGCGGCTGATGCTGCACAAACTGCACTCCAAAGGAAGCACTGTTGACCTCTGCTCACAGGAAGTTTAAAAATACACGGTTATTTTTAACTCGGTTCGGTTTCAGCGCCTCCGTTAGTCGCTTCATCCTCTGGGCACCATGAATCTCTACGTTTCACGAGAGTTCATCGAATTGTTCACTGAGGCTGCAAAACGAAAAAAAGGTCTAGCTTGTGGTAGGGATTGGTTTCATCCTCTGGGAACCATAAAAAGATAAAAATTTTATAGTAGTTTGTCTGATGTTTGTTGAGATATTTCAGTCAAAGGGGGGAACAAAACAACCAACAACCCCAAAAAAAAAAGAAGTTGAGGTCCGGAACCCCCAAGTTCAAATCCTAAAAACACAAGGAAAAAAAAGCAGTAAAAAACAAGGGGGTAAATCCAACGAATAAACCCCTTACAATAAAAACTTAAATGGCCTTTGAAAGAAAGAAATGAAATTGAAAAAAAGAAAAGAAAAAAAAAAAAAAAATTATAAAAAAAACAGCAAAAAAAAAAAAAAAAAAAATAATAACAAATAAACAAAACAAAAAAGTAACAAAAACGAAAAAGAAGACGGAAAAACTAGAAACTTTGAAAGCTCAAAGACAAAATAAAAATATAAATGAAAAATGTAGGCTTAATATCAATTTTTTACAATGATCTGGCGACCCCCTGAAATTATCTTGGGACCCCCATGGGGGTCCCGACCCCCAGTTTAAGAACCACTGAACAAGACCACTAGTCAACTAACACTGACGTCCCTAGAGTCACTCAGAAAGCATGGCTGAAAACATGCAGAACAAAACAAGCTGTTTCTTTGTGCAGGTCAAATGTTAGTATTTCATTCATGATTACAAGAAATTGTCGACTGTAAAAATCCTTCCTTACATTTTGGCTTTTCTTAAGGAGCCACTGTTCCTGAGAAATGAACTAAGAGTGTGTACTTTCTTGTATATATGGAGACAGTTGTGTTCTTGGTTGATAGGTTCCATATCGTGGCCCCTCTTCAGCAAATTATTTAAAGTCTTACATGTTCCCTGAATGTTTTTTAAAAAAATCTTTCAGCTCTCAAGACTGCAAAGATGGTTTATTTCACCATGACTGCATAACCTCTGGTTTCAGTATCAGCTGAGACGCTGCGGTCCACACCTCCTTCAGGAAGAAGACTCTCTCTGTGTCTGTGATTAATCACGTGGCACCACATTCACAGCACATGTGCCAGAAACACAACTGGAGTGACAGAGGAGGCTCTGAAAGAGTTCAACATGATGTTCAAGCATTTCGACAAGGAGAAGTCAGGCCGCCTGAACCATCAGGAGTTCAAATCGTGTCTGCGCTCCCTCAGCTACGACCTGCCCATAGTGGAAGAAGGAGAACCTGATCCTGAGTTTGAGTCCACACTGGACACTGTGGATCCCAACAGGGATGGCAACGTGTCGTTGCAGGAGTACATGGCATTCATGATCAGCGATCACCGTGAAACAGACAATCGGGAGCGCCTTCCTCGCCCTCAGCACAGAGAACAAACCCTACGTCACTAAAGAAGAGCTCTACCAGAACCAAGGAGCAGGCCGACTACTGCCTCTCACACATGAAGCCCGACCTCGACAGCAACGGCCGCGAGCTGCCGTCAGCCTTTGACTTTGTGGAATTCACTCGCTCGCTCTTCGTCAACTGATCCCTTTTTGTTTTTGTCTTTAATTTGTTTGTGTGGAGAGTTTGTGAGACAACATCAAACTTTTAAAACCAGTATTTTAGAAGTGCAGGATGGCAACTTGGACATTTATATAAAGTCACTGTTGTTTACCATTTAGTCTTAATGTACATTCTGTGTCACTGTTTCGTACTTGTTCTGTTGTCTGACAGCAGAAACAGAAAATTAATAGAGAACAGCTTAATTGGGGATTCAGCTGGATTAAAATGCAGTCCGCATCCTAACAGTTCATAGTTTACACCACAAAACCACCATATGGCACCTTTAAATACTATTAACAGTTTACATTCTGGGCTCTAAATTGTCTTGGTGTCAGTGTGTAAAATATACTCAAAGAACTAGTTTGGTTGTTCTTCCTCCAGGCATCTCATTGAAACGTCATCCTGGCTGACGAAACTAGAGAGAGTAAGAAAAAACCAGAATGGGACGAGAAGAGAGCAAAACACTGAAATCAGGAAAGGTGTTACATATTAGACTTTATTGTGTTTGAAGAGGAACGTGAGACCACCAATTATAAATGGGAACCAGGGAATGTGCTGCACCTGGATGACTGGTTTTATAGCCTCTGCGCAGAGATAGGAAATGGAAAAACGACTGAAACGATAACACCTAGAGCCAGACTAAGCCCCTCTGTCGTAAAACTGTGACAACATGGAAAAACCTTACACGTCGCGCACGTAGCTGACGAACCAAACCACCCCGAGATGAGGTGAAATGTCATTTTTTTTGTCACCTGTTAATGCAAGAAGAAACAGCAACATCAAACTCCTTACAGACTGGATCTGATCACAAAGACCAGCTGTTCAACCACAACATCCCCAACTTTATTGTCAGAGAAACACTGTGCTTTGTTCTTTTTAAAACTCCCAGTAAACCAGTGAATTCAGCTCCCACCACCTGCCCAGTATAACGAGCAACACAGTGGATTAAGAACTGTGAAAATCTCTGACATAAAAACACAAATAAGCCACTTTTGAAGGAAGAAACAACACTTCTAGTCTCCCCTTGAGCTGCTCTTACACAGATAACATATATTGTTGTTGAGCAGTGATGAGGATACGTGTGTCAAGCTCAGACGTGATTTCCAAATGTTAGCATGCTAACATGGGAAACCATCCATCCATCATCTACACACCGCTTAATCCTCACCAGGGTCACGGGGGGCTGGAGTCTATCCCAGCTGACTCAGGATGAAGGTCAGGACAGGTCAGCAGTCTATCACAGGGCTACACTTAGAGACCAAGCACACTCACATTCACACCTACGGATAATTTGGAATCACCAATTAACCTCAACATGTTTTTGGACTGTGTGGAAGGAAGAACCCGGAGAGAACCCACGCTGCACGGGGAGAAAATGCAAACTCCACGCAGAAAGATCCCAGGTGTCCTCACTGGGATATGAACCAGCGATCGTCTTGCTGCAAGGCAACAATGCTAACCACTGCCCCACCTTACAGCCCCATGGTAAACCAAGAGGGAAAAAATGATACCTGCAAAACAGACGTTTGCATCGTCCTAGTGAGCATGTTGGGATGCTGACATTAGTATTTAGTTTTAAAGTACAGAACAGCTATGTTCTGTA